ATCCTCCGGCGACGCCTCGAGATCATGGCGCGCCGCTGGCTCGACGCGACCGATGGCACGATCACACGATCCGCCGTGCCCGAGACGCCGCCCAAGCAGCAGCAGCGACGACATCGCTTCTACACCAACCCGTTCTGGAGCCTGCGATCGCAATAGCCGATCGATCCAACGATAGCAGTATGTGTAATAGGTGTCCTTTGGCGTGTACTCGAACCTCTTGGTCTTCATCGACTTCCACACAGGCATGACAGCATGGCTGGCGTCATCGCGTCGGCTCGTCGAGACTGTCGTTGGCCACGGGCAGTCGTGGTCATGCGCGACGAGGATGAGGATAGGAAACGAACCGATCAGTGCGATATCGACCAATCCGGATGTTCTTTTCATTTTTTAGCCAATCCAATCTCGTAAACGCTCCAAATGCTTCGGGATTGGTCATAATGTAGCGAATCACGCCAAGTGGGTTCAGCGGCGGTGCCACTTGAAGTAGCCGGCGATGGCACATCGATCGACGAGCTTATATCTCGCCACGTACCCATGATGGAGTCCTTGAAGATGCGGGACCGTGGCGATGGCTGACTCTGCGGCTACTCGGCTGCATGCGTATACCGCTTTGCATATCTGCAGGCGTTGAAGTCGCTGGCTCTTAACGGACGCGCCAAAATTAGCCTCCCAAGGCTCAATAAGAAGCTTAGTGCTCGTACGCAGCCGCCGAATGCGCTCGAACGTCGTCCCATGGCTGCGGCAGCACTGCTCGGTGAACATATTTCGCCTGCGCGCAGTTCTACTCGGCGTGGGTCTCGTCTCGGTGCTTGCGATGCGAGCTCCAAAGATCATGGTGCAGGGCTCGCCGCCGATGCCGTGGACCTCGCAGCTGCAGACGTTTGTTGACCGATGCGCGCCCATGTGCGAGGCAGGACGGACATCGCTGTGCGCAGCCGCCTACAGCGATGCCAAGGCGTGCCAAGCGTACTGCAACAGCATGCGCCTCAGCTACTACACGCGTCTTTGGCCCAAGCTGCCCGTCGCCTGCGACCGCGCATGCCTGGCTTTTCGCCCGCATCTCTGCGGCCAGCGCGAAACCTGCCGCGACGCGTGCTCTGCGACGGTGCGTGCGGCCGTGCCACCGCTTGGACGCGCGGAAGACGTCGTGCTCGAGGTCCCGAGCCCCGGAGGCTCGTTCTGGGCGACGCTCGTCGTCGTCCTCTTGGCGACCACCGACCTCATGGCCTCGCTCGTGCTATGGGGCCCGCAGCTACGCGCCTCCGAAGCCGACATCTATGACAACAAGTACGACTTGTCTTCTAAACTGTGGACGCTTCTCGAATCGCCGACCAACCTCCCGACGCTCTGCAAGATGTGCTACGAAATCAAGGTGCTCTGCTTTGACGACGCGGACGGCAACGGCTTGGCGATTACGGTGCTCCTGCAGCTCCTCACGCTACTTCATGACCACGTGCCCGTCTGGGTCGCTCGGTGGCGGCAGCGCGCCCAAGTGCAGGAGCCACCGCAAGCATCGAGCCCCGACTCACCGCAACCCATTTAAGCAAAAAGACTTCAACTCGAATGACAAGAACACTCGCTCGGATGGACAATAATTACTAGTTTGTTACGTGTTGAGAGATAAGTTACAGCCGGATTAGAACTTCTCCGAGTGGTACGAGAACGCTGTGCCGTCCGTCTGCGCCTGGTTGAAGGCGTGGCAGGCGGCGCCCACCGTTCGATTGAGTGGCTGCGGGCCGCAGAGGAAGACGCCGACTTCGCTGCCCCGGTGGGCTCGGCCAATGCGCGCCAGCTCAGCAGACCTACACAACCTCACCCATGAGCGTCCATCGTGCATCATAGATAAGAAGAGCCTACCAGTCGGGGCGGCCAAAGTGGGTGACGTTCTTGTCCTTGGACGCGATGCCGGTCAAGACGTCATGCCCGTCCTCGACCTGCATGAAGGTCTGGATGAGTCGAAGCGGCGCGACGACGGACTCGCGGCTCAGTGGCGTCAAGTACGTCTGGATCTCGAGTCGGTTGGCCCGTGTCCATGAGGCTGAGCTGCTGCATCGTG